GTAGCTATAGCTTGGTCGCTTAGATGTCTGCTTTCAAATTCCAGGTTTAAGTCTAGTAATGTTTGCTCATGATTAAAACAAAGAACGCTTTAAGCCTCAAAAGAAGTATTTCTGTCTCTTATACACATCTGATGCGTTTTAAGTGATCTTTTGAAAATATTAACATTAGAAATGTAATATTATTTATTAAATTTAACCCGTCTTTTAATTTTGTTATAAAGATTTATTGATCGTTTCTCAACAGAGACCAAATAACTATACAAAGTGCTATACAAATTTAAAGAGAAACACACAAACAATAAAACCTATAAGCGGCGATAAACAACAACACTGATATTTTTTTTGAATATATAATATTGTAAAGCGCCAAGTAAGGCTTGCTAATATGCCACTAGATTCCAACAGTTAAGCTCTAATCATTTAAGACCTTTTTCATGGTCTTCTTAGCTATCGAATTTAACTGTACAAATAATTTTACATGTGAATAACAAATTTCTAGTCAATAAGGTGTAAATCAACTCGAACTCGTATATGATTCATGTTTAAAATACATTCTTATACTATCCAGTTATAATTTTGAAATATCTCATAGATAACTCCTAAATAGTAGTTCATATGTGAAATGGATATGGGGTGTGGTGGACATACCCATAATTCAGTTAGAAAAATATCGTCAGATTAATCAGGGTTATTTTTATTACACCCTAACTGTGACCATATACACTTCGTTAAATTTTAATTTATAGTGTCTAAAACAGTTTATAATAACATAAGTGTTTGTAAATTTACTATTAAAACGTCCAAGTAGAAACAACGAGTCTCTTATACACATCTAGATGTGTATAAGAGACAGGTCTCCCCCTAAAATCATGGTCAAGTAGTTAAAAATCACCTAAAATCACCTTATTTTGCAAATTAGTGGCCCTCAACTGATCATTGAGCTCCCCCCCCCCCACAAACTTCACCTTCGCGCTCCCCATCAGCACCCCCATTTCAAGAGTTCTAGATACGCCACTGTTATTGTCCTCAGCAAATGCCAGAGGTACACCCACCTCAAATCTATAATGTAAGGCTGCAGTGTTATATGATTTTGTTTACATCATCATATTATATGTAGCTATAGCTCGGTTGCTTAGATGTCTGCTTTCAGATTCCAGGTTTAAGTCTAGTAATGTTTGCTCATGATTAAAACAAAGAACGCTTTAAGCCTCAAAAGAAGTATTTTAACCTTCAATAAATCTCAAAGAGTATGTATTGAACTTGCAAGGGGTTGCTGCTATCTTTAAAACATTGATATATTTGCTTTAGGAAACCTTTGGCCAGTTTGCCTAAATATTTAAATGGTAATAATAAATTATGAGGATGAATAGAAAGTTGTTTTTTTTTAAATGCACATCCGCCATCCAACCCCAATCACAGTTGTTCTAGGAAGGCTGTAATAGAAACCACACGACCCTCTGCTCTGTAACAATTCTGATTAACAAATATACAATTAGGCAGGGACCTCTGATGCTAATTTGCTCCCCTACCTGCTGTGAACCTGCCTAGAGCCAGACCCTGATAAGCCATTAGCATTGTGATATGAGGAAATGAGACCTCCTTTGAAGGTACTCATATCCTGGGGTGAAGAACAAGCTCATGCCTATGCTAAGCACTTGGCCGACTTGTAGGTAGGTCAGCTTAGCATGGCCCAGCACAAGCACGGCACACATCTAATATGACAAGAAGACATAATTTCTTCCCAAAAGAAACTCAATACTGAATATATTAATTTGTGGGATGCTTCTTAATTTTGATGGGCATGATATTCTTATACCAGCTGGTTTTTATTTTGGCTGTGGTTATAGATATTATTATTATTATTATAAATATTACTTCAGGGTATGAGTTCACTGTTGGAAAAATCACATCTAAGTTTTTCCAAAATATCCTGTTGTCTTTCAAGTCATCTATGCATCTCGGTGATTCTGACGCTTCAGTCTATCTCTTCTGTTTTACTTTCCAGTGATGTCTACCATGTTTAATTGTTTTTCTTGCCCATCTGTTACTATTCTCATATCTTATTCTCATACTATGGTTCTCTTCTAGCCCATGAGTGTGTCAATAAATGTAACAGGCTCTAGCAAAACCAGCTGTTTGTAGGAACAATTCAAAATTGGGTTTTTGCTATTGTTTTATACTGCATGAATTCTTTTTTAAACAGTGTTTTTTTATGGAAATTGGTTTGAGTATTTATCAAAGTTATGAATAGTTAATTCAATGAATATCAGCAGTGTATGTTTTGAAAATACAGCTTCCAAAGGCTCAAAAATTAATAGTTTATTATAATATTAAAATTTGTATTTTAAAAATAATTTTAATATACTTTTCAGGTAGATTTAGTGATTGATATTTTGCAGAGATGATCTTCATCCTCTTTTATGAAATGCTAGACCTGAAAATGTTAACTTCTGTATCTCAAACATTTTGCTTGTGCGAAAGTAAACTTTGCTACAATTGATGGGTTTTGCTACAGCCAGTCACAAATGGTGAAATAGAAGCACCTTAGGCTATGTTCACACACACGGCGTAAGGCTGGCTTAAGCCTGGCGTAGCGTACGCCTTTGTGTGTGAACTAGGCAGTGGCGTTGTTAAAGCCACTCACTACGCCACGTCCTTGGCGTTATTAACGCTACCTGCAGACCCCGGATTAGCTAACGCCACTGAGCTAACGCCAGTGATGCTTGAATGATTTGACCTCATTTCAAGAGATTGACCAATCACGATTGCAATATATTAGCTACTTTGGTCTCTTTTCTGTGCTCTCTATAAATGATCTCTTATACACATCT